TTCAATTTTACCTTATCCCACATCGGATGTCAATGGAAAAGTAGAAGGGAATCTCTCCTTTAAAAAGGAACATGATGATAGAAGCCACTATTGGGCTTGCTAGGAAAAACATGGGCCTTAAGTTAGTTCAAATTTTTTTTTTCTAATTTTTATTGATTTCGGATCGGATTATCGGATCGGATATCCGATAACATAGCAAATCGGATATGGATTTAACAATTAAATATCCATCGGATTATCGGATCGGATCGGATCGAAAAAAATCTCTTATCGGATCGGATCGGATATAGACAGATCCGATCCATATCCGATCCATTTACAGCCCTAGTCCCCTGTACCACCACCATCATCACCGCCCCCTCAAATCCATTACTGTCAACGCCACCACCACAACCACCNTATTGGGCTTGCTAGGAAAAACATGGGCCTTAAGTTAGTTCAAATTTTTTTTTTCTAATTTTTATTGATTTCGGATCGGATTATCGGATCGGATATCCGATAACATAGCAAATCGGATATGGATTTAACAATTAAATATCCATCGGATTATCGGATCGGATAAAAAAAAATCTCTTATCAGATCGGATCGGATATAAACAGATCCGATCCATATCCGATCAATTTACAGCCCTAAGCGTGGTAGCCAGCATTAGCTTGGTTATGGGCAGTAGCAGTGGGTAATGGTAACTAGCTCGAGGTTTTGACAAGAATGGATGGTATCATCGGGGGTTTGGTTGGGTGGATGTCTGAGCTAGGTTGGGGTATCACGCATCAAGGAGCGATGTTGACGGTGGTAGAACACCAATGAAAAAAAAAAAAAAGTATGAGATGATTGAGATTGAAGATATCCAACCAATTCATAATGGTGATCGGGTAGTGGTAGTAGAAGACAGCAATGATGGTGAGAGATGATATTAGGCTTTAATATGAGGGTAATAAAGGTAACATTGATTTACCCTAATTCTTGTTAATTTAATTGAAACTATGCAGGTTGTGTACAACAAATAAGGCAGAGGAATTGAAGATAATGACTTTCGAGATTCTTACTTGCTATATATATATATATACTAGGTGTAAGCAACGTGCAATGCACGTTTGCTTAGTTTATATTTAATAATTTTGTTTAAGGATTAATTTATTATTAATAAAGATGTAATTTTTTGGTTAAATAAATAATTAATCATGTAATGTTTATGTAATTGATAAATAATTAGATGTGTGATTTTGATNTTTGTTTAAGAATTAATTTGTTGTTCATTTATTTTCTCATGCTAGGACACCCTAATCTCATAAAATTTAATCCACGCATACATGATAAAATCTCTATGTAAACAGGGATTATTCTAAAAATCAAATTCTCCAAGTGACCAATCTACAAGTTCACTGATTTTCCATCACTTTAAATAAGGCAAACGGAAGTTCGGAGAGTACAATCTTCTGTATATCAAATAGGAACATGAAGAATCGTACCGGCCATATATAACCATGATGGTTGAGAGAGTGAGACAAGTGGCCAATATAGACAATCTAAGACAAAATCAACAAGTACACCAAAGCACCCATTCCGTATAGGAGAGACAGTAATAAGATTTTAAACTCGAAGAGAATTGGAGAACATGCTTGAAATATACTTAGACGACCAACCTGAAGAAAATTACGAAATATCAGGTTTAAGTCATTTTCTATCACACGCGACACTTGTTAACAGTCTGACCCAAGCATTCTAGTCAAATCACCAACTGTTTCAGAGTCGAAAAAGGATATATCCTACAAACCAAGTAGCTAAAAATAATTATTCACGGTGAGAAATAAATCATGCTTTGTGTTATGAAGATTGATAGTAGAAACCATGTCAAGTTCGCAATATTTTATAGCATATTATTTCAAGAACCTAAAGAAGTGTTGAGTATAATTGTTCTCATTTTGTTTAGCTTCTTTTATCTTCTTCACGGGAACAGAAATCTGCAGCAATGAGAATAATTATGAAATACATGATAAAATCATGATTTGGATAGTCTATAATGGAGTTTAAGTAGATACAGTAATGAAATTATGAAATCCTTAAAAAGTTTATTTTGCGAATGACACTCGGACTGGATAACAATTGAATCTTGATATAATATACCTTGTAAAGAGTTTTGATAAGGGCTCCAGAAGAGGATTGGACAGTAATGGATCTTCACTGCAGAATGCAATCTTTTCTGTAGAGATAAACAGAATCCCAGCAATTGGCCCTGCTGAGGTTGATAAATAGCACTGAGATGCCTTCAATAGCTTCTCTCCATTGACGACACCAAAAATGTCCTTGAAAATGTTTTCTCTACCACCTTTCTTGATTATTTTGGCCCCAACACTCAACTTCCCCTTTACCGTTTCAAAAAATTTAGGCCCAGCCTCACTGCAAATTCACATACCATGTATAAAAGAAATGCTCATTTTTAAACACAACAGAATTCAGCATCCACAAAAGCTTTTCCCTTTACATGTTGAGAATACCAATCTTGAAATCGGTGTGCTCGTTTGAGTCTTAATCAATCAAATTGCTAGTTGGATCTTGAAATGCTTTGTGGGGTTCCCTTAACAGATATTTTACGCGATTAAGATGATTTGAAAGCTCTTTCGTCCTAAATACGATTTCTTAACAATTGACTTCTTTCTTTTACTTCTTCAACTAAATTTATTGAAGTCCCCATTTTTTAATGCTCTCTATATCCAAAGCAGTCTATTTCTTGC